AAAGATAGCACCAGATCCTTTTTGCTGTAGTTAGTATATTCTATAGTGTTTCTGTATATTAAAATGGTAAATGATGTCCTGAGGACTGTTACCTATGCAAACGTACAGTATATATTTTTTTATTAGTTAGAAGTTTATTTTTATTAGATAATTTTCACATGTATTGTCTCTAATCTTTGAACAATTTGGCCTTTTTTTAAACTAAAATATCTCCCTTACACTGTTTTCTTGGTTATTTTTGTGCCTTTGTTTTGCAACTTTTGTGTAGAATTTTTTTTATGTTATTTTTTGTTTATGTTGTGTTACTGACTTTGGCTTTCCTTGGTGGTGGTTGTTGGTTGTGTTGGTGACGGGTCCTAACCAGCAGCTCCCTCTGACCATACCTGCGACAGTGACTTCCCATCACTCATCTCTACAACTCCGCCATGCCCCCCATGCCAAGAATGGTCCACTCCCAACTGGTCGAGCATCACCAAAAAATGGTCCATTACAGACCTTTAGATCACCCACAAACAATGGCCCTGTACCTTCACCCAAGGTTTCCCCGAGCAACTCCATATCTTCGTCACGGTCATCAATCAACATAGCTCCAGGTCCAGGGTCATTACAGCGTTGCCACAGCTCCCTCTTGGGGCGTAGGAGCACCAGGAGTTCTTTACCTGGGATTGGGAGTGGAACAAGGGGGGCCATACAGGGTTTGGGGAGTGGTTCAAGGGGATCTTTGCCTAGTGGCAGTGGGTCTAGGGGAATGGTGCTCGGAGTTGGGAGCGGACCTTCGGGGGTGCAACAGCGGTGGTCGGGCGGGGCGTCAAACTCACGCTCCTCTGGCATGGGGTCGTTGCAGAAGAAAGAAGGAGGGACAGGAGGAGGAGGTTCAGAGGCACTCTCACTGCCCCACTCACTCTCCAAGAGAGTCATCAGCTCCACCACCCAGACTTCCCCAGTGCCCTCACCAAGACCTTCCCGAAGATCATCAGCCCATAATGCCAGCTCAGCAGGTGGGGGAGGAAGCACTGGTGGAAGTGGTGGCAGTAGTGGACACCACCATCACCACCACCATCACAGACACACTGGCTCATGTTCACACCATCACCATCACATTGATGCCAATGGAGAAGCAGGAGGTGCAAGGAGAGTGCGGCGAAGCTCTCAGTCATCGCAGGGATCATCACTCTCTTACAGTCGCCCGTATAGACAAGTAGGATTTATTAATCTCTTATCAGTTAAAAATATCTGTTTCATCTGTCTGATGAAACTGCTTTACCAGTATAATAGTTTTACCTTTTCTTACAATTTACTTTTGAGATATTTTCATAGATATAGTATAAGATTTATGTAGAACATAAGAAATTACACATTGATAGATAACACTTGCAATGAGATAAATTTGTACAGTCCAACAGGATTAATTTTAATTGATTTAAGATTTATGTATAGTTCATTTTCTTTCAGGAATCTGGCAGGTCTAGTGACAGTTCCATGTCCCAAAGCCGCACCTCCTTAGAAGGATCTGGTTATAGATTGCTTGAGTCTCCTCGTGGTAGCTCTGGCCTTCGGGACTCGAGGAGAGGTGGTTCAGCTGCTGGACGTGTGGGAGAGGGCCAAAAAGAAGGTGATCCAGTGTCTCCTCGTTCCCCAGACTCTGTGTCTTCCCATTCCTCCCCGACACACCCACAGCAGGCAGGCCCCGCTACACCTTCTTCACACCGCCGAGCTCACACTGATTCCCGAGAACCGACAGCTGCCAGGTATAAGGGTGTTCCCCATCATGATTTTTCACATCTTCAGTTTTCCAAACAACGCAGTTTTGATGTTTCCAACTATCCAAAGCCTGAACACAGTATGGACCGGCCAAGAGAAATGGCTTTGTCTCGTAGCTACAGTTTCATGTCAAGGCCGCGATATCATGATGAAGATGGGATGCATGAAAGATACTTGATTGGGGCCATGCGATCTGTTGAGTCGACACCACAGCCACGACGTCGCCAAAAGGGCCTGGATGTTGTGCCTGGTAGTCCTGATTCTTTAGGATCTCATGGTTACCTTAACTACCGCCAAAGATCTGATAGTTCAGGCTTGGAAAGCCTTGCAACACCAATGATGCACAGAAAACAAAGGTCCCTTGAGTCAGGAAAATCGCGTTTTAAAATGGATCTACGTTCAAGTACGAGTGCCCATACCAGACTCGCCACATCAGATTCTAGTCCAAGTCCCCCTAGTCCTAAGCATGAGTTCTCACCCTTCAACTTTGACTCACCTCGTGGTCAAGACAGTGGAGCCTCCACTTTGACGGACAAGGACACCAGATCCAATTATGGTCGTGGATCTGCTGACAGCTCTCCACACTCTCAAGTGGATTCTGGACTTGTATCAGGAACAACTGGGAGCAGGGGCTCTGTTGATAGCAATTCACGAAGGACAGACTCACGACAAACCACTTTGGACAAGGAGACTTCAAAGTGTTCTGCAGCTGAGAGCTCAAGTAAACCTTCCTCAAAGA